GAATGTGTCCAGCGGCGTTCTTGGGCCTGTCTCCCTTCTCGTCCAATGGATCAACCTGCGACGGACGATCGATGATGTTGAACAGGGTCTGGCCAGCTGCCGTGGCCACGGCAAGGGCCTCCACGTGTGGAGAGGCGAAACCGAGATTCTGGGCACCCATGATCACGGCGAACAGGACAATGACCAACACGGCAGGAGTATAAACGCGATCGGGAAGATCACGCTCGTCCAGAATGAGCGTGACACCATACCAGATGGCAAGGGCCATGCACAGGTAGATGATCAGCCAGGACAGGGCATTTCCCATGCCCGAGTAGAGACCCTTCTTGCGACCCGTATTCTCTGCGGGAATGAGCAGCTTTCCAAAGCGTTCCTTCTCCTTCTCCTGGCCACTGAAAGCGAACACTGTGCGAATTCCACTGAAGACCTCCTCCACCACGTTGGCTGCATCGGAGTAGGACTTCAGCTCCTTCTCGGCCAGGGATCCCTGGAGTCGCGCCACCACACTGGTGGCTGCGATGATGAAGGGCACACAACTGAGAATGACTAGGGTGAGCTTCCAGCCGTAGACGAATGCGGACACTATTCCAATCACAAAGGTCATGATCAGGAAGGCCACAATCACCACTTTCTCGCCAATGCCCTCCTTCAGTTTGTCCAGATCTCTGCAAATTCAAGACAATCGGGAAGTTCTAGAAATCAAAATTACCAAAATAGCAAAATAGAGGGTTGGAAACTGAATACATCAGTGGGCAACACAAATAGTTTTTAGTTTTTAATTTTTAATTTTACAATTGAAATAAATTCGAATGCATTGAATTAAAGCAATTCCTCGGCGTGGTATATTTAATTAATTTAGAAACTCCCAGGTGGCTTCCTAAAATTGGCTGGGAATCGCGATAGTGATAAATTGGTTCAATCATTTAAAGTCATATTGAGGGTAATAAGTCGGCTTGCAAGTATGATTGGGTAATTTTCTAGTTTTGCTAATGAATATTCAATTGATATGGTTTTTATACTTTGTATAATGTAATAAGATCATGATTATAAGGTTATTAGTTACATTTTGAGACGAAACTCACTCGGTCATTTTGCTGGCAAAGTTGGAGCCCGAACTGGTGTCGTACCAGGCGATATCCTGTCGCAGCATGGCCTCCAGGAAGAGCTTTCGGATGCGATCGATCTGCTTGAGGGCTATGCGATTGGCCAAGTCGATGGCCAGTGTGATGAGCAGGAACATGGCTACAGATCCCACCAGACTGCCAATTCCAAAGGCAGTCGCATCATCGATGATCGCCTGCTTGTTCTCCTCTACGCTGGCATTTGTCCTGCAGGAAACATGGTGTTATAAGACAGACCTGGATACCTAACCTATCATCAAGGACTTACAATTGCTTGCCGCCACCAAACAAGGGCAGAGCAAAGGCAGGGGAGGATGTGCCCACGCGCACTTTTCGGTCCACCAGCAGGGATGTGAACTCCCCATAGATGATCATGAAGTAGGGAATAAATGCGGACGCAGCGGTGGCCACCAGCAGACTGAACACCAACAGGTAGCGCTCGCATGTGGTTGAGTATCTGAACTATGGAGGGATATAGAAGAGAGAGCAAAAGGGATATAGAACATTTATCGATGCTGACCAGGAGTCGCCACTCACCAGATCAAAGTAACTGTACTTCCGTGTCTTATCAAGAACTGATCCTTCCTTATGCTGAAAGTCACCAGCTTGTGGCAACTGTGAGTCCTCCTTCTTCTTGTCCATTGTATCTACAAGGCGGTACTGCAGTAAGTATCTCAATACTCGCTATAGCAATCAAGCCTAAGAGCAAAGTTAACAATCAGTTAAGAACACTTTGTGCTGGCCTGATATCTTAGCCTTAAATTGGGGCCTATAATTTAGAATCCAGCAATTAAAGAACTTAACCACGCGAACCACAAACTCGACCAGTTGCCGTGGCTTTTTATCTGCAAACTCAGCTATAATAGTCTGGTTACTATCTAAAATTCAAATTCATAAATAGAGTTCAGTGCTCTCAAGGAAAGATACTGGGTAGATTACCAATAGAATGATTGAATTCTTAAAAATATTTCAGCTTCCATAAATCTTAACGGAAAACGAATACTGGCTAAGATTAGGAATGTTATGAACTAAATTTCTAAAGATTTATCTTTGGGTTCATGCACTACCACTATTTCAAGTTATTTTTCCTTTCATTAATTTGAGTGAATTATTGCACTTTTCTTGCACTTAATTAAATGGAAATCAATGTATCGCAACATCTCGAGAATACGTAATTATAATACCATTAAAATAAGTAATGCTGATAAAAATGGCAGCAATTATGACGCTTAAGTGTGTGATAATTAATGTATCTTTACGTATTACATAAAATATCGTAGAAATTATTGGACGCGGAGCAAAGGGCTGATTAATCAGCAAAAACAATTTTCCCAAGTCAATTTAAGGAAATTAGCTCGATTGCGCGAATGAAAAAGCGTCCATAAATTAATAAATTAAGCGCAATTGGAAAGCGAGATATTTTTGTGTTGATTGCGATTGTCAATTGCGAACGGCTTGCACTCCATATCCAAGGAACCGGGCATAGCCCACTCCTCAGCTCCACTCAGCTGCACTCAGCTGCAATCAGTTACTCAGATTGGATTCAATTTTATGCACTTGTCTTCAGAAACGCACTAATCGAATGTATTGCGAAGCTGAATCATTCCATTGAACTTCACTTGCAACATGGCACTTACTTGGCTCGTGCCGCTCTTCCGTGGTCACTTAACCAACTGATGAAACCCGCGATCTCCGAAAGAATATATATGTATGCTTCCACTGGCTCTATTGGCACTGGGAAGTGCTCAAGTGCTCAAGTGCTCAAGAAGACGTCTGGAGCCGACGAGTGCGCGATCTGAACTGGACTAACCCAAGATCGAATGGCTGCGACGACAGCTCGGTTCCAGAATCTCGGATACCGGGTCTTCGGTCTTCGGTCCTCGGTCTTCGGTCTCGGGTCTCGGGCGGCAATAAAGCCAAGTCGATCGTATAACTAATCGGGATTCCCACTTCCCCTGGCAACCGCTGGCCACTCACTCACTCGTCCATCCACTCGGACAATACTGGTTTCCTGGCCAAGCAGCAGTTACAGTCCTGTAACCAAAACAGCGCCATAATGGCCGATAAAGCCGATGCAGATTAGATAGCTTAGGCAGGTACCATCGCATCGATTCGGTGTTACGCTAGTCTGTTATCACACTCGTAACCGGTATTTGTTTACTATCATCTGTGGACAGTGCAGTCGGGTTTTGGGCCAAACAAAAAGACTGCGCGTAATAGATTTGCGCGCATGGTTTTCCCCTCTCGAGGTTTTAAGCTGAATTCGTAAGATCGGGGGACTAACCGAGCAGAGATCTGTATCTGTATCTGTATCGCGTGCGAAAGCCGTGATTCATACCGCCGCTCAGGTATTTCAGTGCCGTGAAATACCTGGATGCTTAAGCGTGGTAGCGGCATTCTCACGCTGCCCAGCGACTTCCCCAATCCAAATATAAAACACTACTTTGTGTGATTAAATACAAATAATGTCGTTTTGTGATTCAGAGGACATGCTCCACATCTTTCGCTGTCAGTCTGCTGGTTTATCGCTCGTATTTCACCATATCAGTTAGAAAGCGCCTTAAAGGGTATCAATGGGTATCTCCAAGCAAAACTTTCCAAAGGGATCTCGTCTGCAATCTAATCGACAGTTGTAAGCACTCCTACTGCCCATAAAATATAAATGTACTATCAAAACACTAACACATCTAGTGATGTGTTATTTAGCAAGCCAGATAAGCCGTATTGTGGCCAATTTAGACAAGGTTGTTCCAATAGATAATTGCGGCTGGCTCTGTTGTTTTCGACCATTTGGCATTAGATTGCGAAATTTTTGGCATGCGATTGAAATCGGTTCCATTCAAATGTTCTCTTGGTTACGGACCTAGTCCAATGCGACTATATTACCTACGTTATCTATGGCAACCCAGATTAGTGTTCTTCAAATTCGTGTATATTTATAGATGTGGACAAGAGTTTGGACAAAGGCGTATATCAACTATTGGCGAAAGTATTTGTTGCAAATTTCTTATTTCTTTAATTTATATTATCTTTAATCGGACTCTTGGCTTTATTTTTGTTAAAAATAAATATTTATTGTGCTTTCATTACTTCGTATAAACAAAGCATTTTCGACTGACAATATATGTTACTATTAAAATTACAATTATTTCGGTATTTTAGCTTTGATTTGATTTGATTTTAAGACATTTTTAGAATTTAGTTTGAACTTAAAGTATTTAAACCACTTACATATTTAAAGAAAAATCATTTAAAAATTAAAGATTTAGAGTAAGAAAATATTGGAATATTAAAAAATAATAAAAAAAAAAATTTAATAGTCAAAAAATATTTCCATTTCCTACAGTGTATATCTAGAGTACGATTATGACGCACTCGCTCATATTTACTCTTACCTGCTTCGCCTTTCTCTTTCTTCTCTTTTCTCTTTGGCCGATCCGAGTTGGCGTCGAAAAACCAGAATCGCTTGAGGAAATCTTGTGTTGACCAATAACGGGTAGTTGTGGGAAATGCCAGTTTCGTCTAAGCGTAAACCCCATGTGGGTTCAAGGAGATTTCGAGCATATGGAGTTTCTTTGCTGGGAATACAGCGTTTTTAGTTCCGCGCATTAAGCTTAGTTTTATACTGTACGTGATACAATTTTATTTTGACCTTAAACTCTCGTGCCCGCAAATCGTTAAGCTATCATCTGCTAATTGTAATTTCTGGGTTAGGCGGAAGAAGTTTGGACTTTATGATTTTGCATATACGTCTTGGAAAAAAGTTGGAGTTTTTATGACATAATTACTTACCTAAGAAATATACTTTACACATGGTAGAAGACACATAATAACAAACCCAAACCAAAACAAATAATGTTATCAAAGCGCAAGTCATATAATAAATAAAACATTTATTTCAAAACAAACTTTAAAAGTGAGTCAATATAATTAGTGCATAAGTATCTCAGCTCGTAAATAAATGGTAGGTTTATTTACATATATTGGACAATATTTACATGTTTTTTCGGAGGTAGTTTCACCTTACTATATAAATATGTAGATGCATTGAATAAATATAGTTAATTAGTAATTTGAAATGCATCTGAAAGTTAAGTGCACAATTTCGCACATTACTCAAAGATATGTATGTATCTATATAAATAAATAATCTGTATATGATTTTTCATGGCCTAGCTGCTCTCGAACTTCTCAGATTAAACATGGGTTCAATAAACCAAGCGGATGGCCTGCTGTCCATGGAAAATGTCGCTCCTAACCAGAACCTCGTAGCTGCTTAGACGTATCTCTTGTCCACCGAATGGAATCTGGAGGCATCGGTTGTAGGTCTCAATTACGCCGGGGGTCAAGCTGCCGCGGTAGTGACCCCGTCCAATGTAGAGTGGTGCTCCGCCAGGTGTCGTGCCGGCCACAACCGCTCCGGATGGTACGTTTCCGCCGTGGGATGGCACCCAGTGGTACTTGCCCTTGCCCACCAGCATTTGGTACGAGGGCTCAATGATCTCACGACCTCCGTGGGCTATGTAGCCACATCCCTGGCTGGGAATGGCCTTGCCCGGAACGTGGACACCGCGGTAGTAGGCCCTGCAAACCAGCAATTGCTCCATGTTGCTGTCATGACCTCCAATCACCGCATCGGGGGAGTAATAAAAGCCCGGTTCGGCGGATATCCACACGTCATAGTTGTTGCCATAGCCGTAGGCATCACAGGCCGGAGGAGCAGCACATTCGGCCGGAGTGTAGGACGAGCATCCCGCCCCGTAGGGATTATAGGTGGAGGCGGGTGTAAACGACGGTCCCACGGGAACGGGCACTGCACTGACCTCAGCGGGAACAAATGAAGGTGGTGGCGCCACGGAGACCTCAGCAGGAGTGAACGATGGTGGCGGAGGTGGCATGACCAGCACTCCACCTGCAGGCGGTGGCGGTCGTGGCATGACCGGCACTCCCACAGCAGGTGGCGGCAGCACCATCGCTGCATCGACGGGCGGCATGGGATCCGGAGTGGGTGTGTAAGCCGGAGGCCTGTCAGGAAATGGCATGGCAGCCAAATTCGGATAGGGATATGGCTTGGCTGACAGTGGCGGCGCCATTGCCGGTGGAGAAGGTGGTGGCGGCGGCGAGAGCGGACACTTTTCCGGCTGCTCTAGTGGAGGAGGTGGTGGTGGCAGCTGCCAGCCAGGTACCACTCGACGCTCCTCCACCAATATCTCGTAGGAGTCCAGGCGACGTTCGGCACCACGAAATGCGATGAACAGAGCCCGATGGACGGAGGAGATTTTACCGATAATCAGATGACCCTCGTAATGGCCACGCCCAATGTACACCGGCTGATCCAGCGAAGTGCGTCCACAGAGCACAGCATTCTCCGGAATCACATGGTCGTAGCACTTCATCCACACCAGATTCTGGCCGCACAGCACCTCGAAGATGTCCTTGGGCAGGGCCTCTCCCCGCTGCGAAATGAATCCCAATTGCTTGCTGGGCACCACCTTGCAGACCAGCATATCGCCCTCGTGCTCCGCCCTGCCCACGTATATCATGGCGCCGTCCTCATCGTTGCCGCCCACCACTGCCTCCTCGGGAAGGGAGGAGTAGGCCGAGGATTGAACCCACTTGTAGGCTGGAAGAAAGAGAGTTATGTGTTATTAGCTTAAATTGAGGTATGTCCGACATTTAGAGGTGGTTCAGATTAAAATCTTCAAGGATCTAAAATTCTATTTTAATTTTTATTGGTAGAAAGTCTTTGAAAAAACATGTAAGTGGATTTAAAAAGTAGGTTACAACAAATATAAGCCACTATCTTAGCTCATAAATTGTCTAGTATCAGTCTAATCTAACAATCCATTCGTTGGTTTAGTCTGATGCCATAAATCAGTATGATAAATTTCAAGGGATAGGTATTAAATAGCTGGAACCCAAAATGCAAACAGATCCTTGGGTTTATTGTGATCGAGCACATTGTGATCTGGGATAAATGCAAGTGGTATATGTGTAGGGTTCCGTTCCTTTAGCTTATTGCCTGCAGAGAACCTCGTAGGAGTTGACGCGAATCTCCCGACCTCCGTAGGGGATATAGAGGCACCGCTGGCTGGCCGAGATCAGACCCGGAGTCAAGCTGCCCTGGTAGTGTCCCCGTCCAAAGTACAGGAGCTCTCCATTGCGCGCACGACCCGTGGTCACGGCGTTAGGTGGAATGTGGGGGCCGCAGCTGGTCCACACATAGCCGTAGCCAGTGAGCACCTCGTAGCTGGGCTTCTGGAACTCGTATCCGCCGAAGCAGACGTAGGCGCTGCCCTTGCTCGGCACCACCTTGGCGGGCAGCATTTCGCCCTCGTGCATCGCCCTGCCGGCGTAGATCGGGGTACGGTCGGAGTCGTGTCCGGCGATCACTGCACCCGGCGGAGTGTAACTGGGCGAGGCCGGCACCCAGACGTCGTGCTGCTGCTTGATGAGCACCTCGTAGGTGTTGATGCGCACCTCCTGGTCGCCGAATGGAATGTACAGGCAGCCGTGCGAGGGATGAACCTTGCCCACAGTCAAGCTGCCGGCATGATGTCCGCGTCCCACGTAGAGCGGCTCACCCGTACGCGTGGTTCCACTGCGCACCGCATTCGGTGGCACTCCACCACTGGCACTGGGCACCCAGGCGAATCCCTGGCCCACCAGCACCTCGTAGTGCGTCTTCTTGTGCTCCGCACCACCGTAGGCCACATAGGCGCATCCCTTGCTCGGTATCACCTTGGCGGGCAGATTCTCGCCCTCGTGAAAGGATCGACCCACATAGATGGGCGAGCGGTCCGAGTCATGGCCACCGATCACCGCGTAAGGGGGCAGGGGGCTGTGTGGAGACGAGTGCACCCAGGTGTTTTCTGCAAGGAGAGAGGCAGAGTGGCGATAAGTTTGGTACCTCGCGATAAGATAACCTGTCCGTACACAGAGAGAAACCCGGAGGGCATCAGCGGTAATATTATTTTATTACACGTCCTAACTTGTTATATGAATATTGTTTTGACAGATTGTTTTTAATGTAAACAATCCAAGATTATTTTACTTTGTACTTTTTCCAAAGGTAAATATTTATCATCCGAAAACTGCAATTTCAATTTGTTAGCGTTGGAATCAAAATAATTACCAGATAAAAATTAATGGTTCTTATATGTAACCCATACTCTCTTAGCTTTTTCCCTGTGTACATATTTGGTTTGCTGTAGTACGGCTTATGGGCTTGGGTGGTCTCTTATCAAGGGCGGGGATTGGGGGTTTCACAGAGGCGTAGGGATGTCACCCTGGGCTCACTGCACTCGTCCTACCAATGGTCACAACTGCTCCTGGCTGCACGGCGCCTGGAAGGAGCAAAGAAAGGCGGAGAACTGTGGAAGTCACTCAATGCACTTTGCTTTTTTCCCGGCCAATGTGCACAGAGAAAAAATCACGTTGCCAACCGAATTGGTCAGCGCTTGCGGATTTTTTCGTCCGTAATTGGGGACTTATATGCCACACAATTTATGAATCTGACAAAAATATATTGATGTCTTAACCGAATCAATAATATATTTTTTATGTCGATATTGTTTGAAATCTTTCAGGTCAAATTACATGCAAAAATTATGAACAATACTTTCTCTACACTTATCTGCGGTTACTCATTGTACTTACCCATTGTGTGTCAATTGATGATAACAGATATTCCTTTGGAAAGTTGTATCTTATATTTACTGCCGTTTTCCTGACTCCAAAAAGCGTCCGAACAGTCTGATGTTTGCCTTTTCACTAAACCACATGTGCGCAATAGCCTGACGTTTAAAAGCCGAACCAGACCGATTTGTCACTGTCCCTTATCGCAAAAGCTTTTATGCATTTGATATTGGACCTGTGATATCAATAGGTTTAAATTCCAGTCTCGAAAGCTCCATTTCCAGAAAACATTCCCTTTATCGATCAACGATGAATCATTGTGCCAAACAGGAGGTACTTTTTTTTAGTAAATGAACTGTGTGCATTGTTTTTAAATGACATTGTTCTGCCCTCTCAACAGGTGGAACCCCAATTTAGTGAACCCATAAATAATATGACGCCTACTTGAAGCGCCCATGCTCTAAAAAATCCCCCGTTGAAGAGGCTATAAGGCATACCCAAAAATAAGAGTTATTTTCGAAATAGGATCATTCCCTACATAAATAATCTGAAATATTTATTATTTAGCAATTATACTACTATATTTTATAGTTATCTATTTGTTGATAGTATATTTCTCAATTAATAATAATTATATTTCTAGGAACTCATGGGCAATAACCCCTTTTTTAAAAATAATCTAAATGATAGTAAAAGACATAAACATGTATGTAAAGAATATATCTGTGTTAAAGAGTATAAATAAGTGTGACTCGGCTACGCGATAAAGATATAAAATATCTATACCGCAATTGACTCATGTTCAGACTTTACAATTACATATTACATAGTTACTTATTTACGAGACGTTTTTCAAAGGATTCTCAAATAATCCACAACATGCTAGGTATTATTTTTGTTCTAGAAAAGCGTTCCAGCGCTTATAGTTGATCCATGGAAGCAATACACATACGTGTACCTTTACTCTTTTGCGAACTTATTGATGAAGTTTATTTTTGAATACCGGCGATAAGATTCCTAGGCAACTGCTATAGATAAAAGCCGCAAGTACAAAATTACATATGCAGCGAAAAGATCGATTGTGTGTGTATTTGACGTTGCCCTTCCTGTTTAACAAAAAATTTTAATTGTTTTTTCCAAACGTTTGTTTCAGATACACCTGACAGTTGGTCGCAATGACGAATACCGTCCATGAAATGAGGATCCGTTTTTGGAGCACACACAACGGTTCCAAGCAGTGTGACTAGATATCTTATCAATGCCGGCTAACTACCCTTACTGATAAGAGAGCACCACAGCTTTTAAGGCGCAACCGATGCGCTAGTAGAGACCAGTCGTTGAAGTCAGCCCCAACACAGCGGAGCCAGCGAGTATAGTATATAGCACCACGTTCCAGACCTAAATCAACACATAAAACCCACACAAACACAACATGGGAGGTGAGAACTGAAGTGCAAAGCTAGTGACTAAGATAATTTCGGCAAAAACGAAAGCAAAGTGCCGCAATTAGTCGTGACAAGTGGCCAAGTGGCCAAGTGTCATCGATACTCCGCGCAGGTGACAGCCGAAATCCCTTGGAGCTTTGGTAGCTTTCCACAGATCCAGCGATTTTACCCCACTGTGCCTGATTAATGGGGTACAGTTGGCCCTCGCAGCCACGTTAACTTATCGCCTCTGACCCTGCTCTATATATATATGTATGTATATATTTTTGTTCGCAGACTACACGTGGATTAGCAGCAACGTTTACGGATCCCTGCCCCCAGGAGCTGTCATTGGCGGCCACGACTCCGACCAGGACACCATCTATGTGGGCCGCGCCTACCACAATGGAGAGATGCTGCCGGCGAAGGTGGTGCCCGGCAAGCAGCAGGCCTATGTTCCATGGGGCGGCCAGGAGATTAGCAAGCACGACTTCGAGGTCCTTGTCGGTGATCACTTCTCCTGGATCCCGTCCAGCGGTGGATCTGTACCGCCGCACGCCATCCAAGTGGGCCAGACTGGCGAGGGTGAGCCCCTCTACGTGGGCCGTGGTTACTTCCAGGGCAGCCTCACCCCCGGCAAGATCCATCCCTCGCACCAGTGCTTGTACATCCCCTACGGCGGACACGAGGTAGGTCTAACCCTCACTTTGCTGCTATGGTGATGGATGCCCTTCATCCCCTCCATAATAGCGTCCAAAGTCCACGTAGTGACGAATCGCACCAGGAGTGCCTGCGATACGACAATTTCTAAAACATCACTTTAATCTCTGACCTACCAAATTCTCATGTCATTGCAGCACCGTCTGGAGGCCTATGAAGTGCTAGTCCAGCCGGAAACATGGGTAGCCTCTAGCGGATGCGGCATTGTTCCCGGAACCGTGGTTGGCGGACACGACGCCGATGGCGATCAGATCTATGTGGGTCGCGCCTACCACGAAGGCGACTTGCTGCCAGCCAAGGTGAGGACCTGCAATTCTATAGCTACTGTATGGCAACTCACTAAATTTCTCCACCTATCCACCAGGTGATCCCCAACAAGGGCTGTGCCTATGTGCCCTACGGAGGCGGTGAGGTGGTCAAGCACGACTACGAACTGCTGGCCGGATACGGATACGGATGGGTGCACGACAGCCATGGCAATGTGCCCGGCAATGCCGTACTCTGCGGTCGCACTTCCGATGGAGAGCCCCTGTTCATCGGCCGTGCCCACCACCACGGCAGCCTCACTCCCGGCAAGATTCACCAGTCCCATCACTGCCTCTACATACCTTTCGGCGGCGAGGAGGTCCGCATCGACCACTATGAGGTCCTGGTCAAGGGCTAAGCTGCTGCTGCTACTCGACAACTTTGTAGTCCTTCGATTCCGCTGCCTGCTAATTTATAAATCATCTTGTATCATTAAAACGTCCCCCGCTAAAATGGAAAGACAGCTTCTTATTTTTGCTTGGTAAATACAACTATTTAGGAAAATAATATTTGCTTTAGAGCGAATTTGAGGTAATCAGAGCTGTGGGTTTGATCGGTGACCACGTGAATGCGACTGTTTCGGCCAGTTTCCGCCCGTAACCACGATTTTCACAGGATTTTCATGAGCCCTGAGCTAGTGACGTGCCACCATTGTCCTTTTGTAAGCAAAGGATCTTTCCATCCTACGCTACAACCCTGTTTTCCATAGTCAGACCTGCAAGGACTCCCAAGGACACGTCAGTTGATGATGGACCGGGGTCACTACGTCTTACGACTTCCAGTCGACCGATTTCGGCAAGTCCAATAGTCAAGAGACAACAGTTACGAACAATACATCCTGGTCCAATGTAATGCTTACTACTGTAATGCTTAATCCGCTTACCTTAACTCCTGATTGTAGATTGATCAAGTCCTTTAGACTCAAAGCTAAGGAAGGGTCACCGCCACTTTAAAGGTCTCCAAGGCTTCGGCCAATCGCTGGTCATGGTTGTTAATATGAATCGCATTTTGCTGGAATATCTGCCTTCGCAAAAGCTCCTCGGACTCGTCATGGCAATTGAAAAATGAGAAATGAGAAATTGGATTTGAGGGTTGAGCCAGCAACAGCAGGGCTTAGCCATCAATAGAGTAAGGGGTAGAAATAAAGTATGTTTCTAATAATTATTAGTACTGATGTTTTATTCCATCAATAGCTTGCGTTTCATGTATGTAGTTAAGCTCAGTGTTGAGGAAGTTGGTAAACTGGTTTGCAGACAACTTTAAAGTCTCTAGATCCCCGTATATTGTTGGTTATGCTGGTTAACGTGGATCTCAGCTTATCTTTAGCGCGATTTATTCTAGTGAGAAGTTATAACCAGGCTGATTTCCTATGTATACTACTTAAAAGATCTCGACAAGAAAGGACACTGCGCTCATACAACGAAAAATTCTTTACACCTTAAGTTATGCTTCGTTTTGCAAGCTTTTCCAGAGCTTTCGATTGACTCTCTACATGGTGTGTAGACTTAATGTAGAGATACACCCCCAGGGTCGAATATCTTATTCTTTTTTTCCTCCCGGCCGCACTCGCTTGCTCTCGCTCGCGCTCGCCCTCACTGCTCGTTTGCCATTGGTCGTTTGTTGCCGTCGTCGGCAGTGCTCTGTTCTCATTGGCTAACTGGAAATGAAGCCGCTCCCGACCGCGAACTCTATTGGTCTTCTGTGGCCAGATTCCAGCCTGTGGACGTGGCCAACTGAAAGTGGCAAGTGGCCAAGACAAGGCGTTTTCTATCGCTTTTCATTTACCAGTTCATTTTCCCCGAGAGGCCTCAAGGACTTGATGATTTCGCTATTGTCCAAGCTGTATTTCAGAGATTAAAATCATTTTTTACTGGCTTTCATGTGAATGAATCTCAAAGAGGAATCTTGCCGCTCCAAACTGGTTTTGGTAGGCCGCTCACCAAAATGCCGTCGCTTCTTACACACTTCCATCTAAACTGGATCCAACGAAAGTCAAAACAGCATAGGCAGAATATTTGTAAACAAATTTAGCTTTAACACTCGGAGGTCTTTTTAGACTTTAATCATTGTGGACGGGATCTCAAGTAGTGACGAAGGCACTGTACTACTTACATATACTACTAGATACTATTAGGAGTATTAAATATAGGTCTTGGGAACTATGATTTAGGAAAATACTTACTATTTTAGCTTAACGTCTACCCATGATAAAAGGGCGAACTCGGGTTGAATACTGCGTTATCTAAGGAGGAGTTTTACGTTAAATAAAGTCCAATTCTATACAAAATTAAACATATATTTTTATTCACACAATATTTTGAAGTAACAAATTTTCTTTTAAAGTTTAAGCAAGTGTTTAAGGCGAAACGCGCTCTACAATTCTTTTTGTCCAAACATTTTCGTTGTTTTCTTTTTAAAAACAACTCTTAAGTTCATTGAGTGCATTGCAACATGTACAATATGTACATATGCAGCTGAAAGTTGGAAATTTTATATGGTTCTAATGCATGGTTCTAATTAAGACATCAGTACCAACAGAAAATCTCTACAACCAACATCTACGACAGCAAGGAAAGAGGCAATAATCCCAAAGATGAGATCTTCAATAGCTTTGTAGATTAAAGAAAGCCATCCAATTTAATAATTCTACCTGACCATGTACATTACCCCTTTTAATAAACCCGTTTGTATTTGAATGTCAGACACCCCAAAGTGTAAGCACCAGCTTTCCAAGCGACTGTCAATTTCAGACTGTGCAACGACAGAGTCATAACTTTAAAGCCATACAAGGAGCATGGGTTGTGGGACATGGCAAGACCCACCCCCCGGGCGTACAACCCTCGGCCAATATAAATTCTTGTAATTTAATTTCGCTATTGCAAAGGAAGCGCACTCACACACTCGTAATCCGGACACACAGCGGCAGCAGTGCCACATGAAATCTCGCATTTATTGGAACGGAGAAGAGATATTAAACGGCAACTCTGATGCTATCGGAGACCACATCCCATTGAAGCCGATGCCCAGCCCAGCTTCCTTTTGCTTTTTTTACCGCCAACCCTCGGAATAACTGTGAAAATGCTCGACATTCCGGGGCCCAAGCAACAATAACAAACGGGGACGGGACGACTATCAGTTTCTACAGACGAGTGGAATGACAAAATTTCGCCTCTGGGCTGTCGCAGTATCTGAGCCTCGTCTTCTATGCGTATCCGTATCCGTGCCCGTATATGTGTATCCGTATCTCAGTGTCTGTATCTTTTCGCAGCGCACAGCGGTTAGCTGGCAACGAATGAAGCCGTTTTGGAAACGGGCACTGCCAACATATATGTACATAGGTTACATACTACGGTACATAGGTGAAAATTCCTATATACAACAAAGGCGATACAATTAGTTGAAAAGCCCAAGTGCGATTCGATGTCGTTATATCTGTGTGTGTGCGTGTGTTCTGTGTGATAGGGAGGGTTGCTCTGCCGACGTCGCTGCCGGGAGGGTATTACTTTTTGGACCAGCAGTGCGGGGTCTTCATCCTGTTTCGTTAGCGAACAACGGGGCAAAACGAAGCACTGAAAAATGTACATAAAATGGAAATGAGAGGCTTTTGTTGAACGCTGTGCGTTTCGATGGGCGTTTCGGTATATAAATCGACACCGAAACCCAAACCGAAAACCTTTCTCGAATTTAAAACCCCGACACTCGACGCCTACGTCGATGCGAGCAGCGACGCCAGCGCAGGCAGCGCATTAAACTGTACACTCAGACAAATTGCTCGACCTATTCAAGGCATGTTAGGCGACAAATATAAATGCTCCCTTGTCATATTGTTCAATTTTAACTGGCGATTGTATGGCTTTTAAAAACAGATCATTGTGGGTCCAAGAACTACATACATGAAATTTTTGCCAGTGCATGGCAGGCAATTATGAAAATTAGTCTCGAATCCTTTCAGAAATTGCCTTCTTTGTTACGTGATCCACTCAAAATGAAGGATGTATCTCGGTCATGAACGATCCAAGTGAGAAAAAGTTTTCTAATTCCAAGTGTAGACGCCAAGCGAAGACTTCGACTGCGCTTCTTCTAATTAGTTTTCGGAGTCTATAAATAAGTTTTAGTGGATCTGCGGGGCAGCGGGTGCGGATGAGGGTTAGCGTGATATGGTACATGTTTCTCATCTGCTGCGTGATAATTCAATTAGGAATGTGTGAATCGGCAACAACAACAAACAGAGCTGCAGCAGCGTTGCAGCGGAAGTGCAGGCGAAAGAGGGAGGAAAGCAAGCGAGGGGGGAAGGGAAGAGGAAGAGGAGGAGAGGGAAGAAGGAAAAGTGTCTTTGCTCAATAGAAAGGCCAGAGTAAAGCGGAATATGCGTGAGGAGAGGGGCCGCAGAAAGTGAGAGAGAGAGAGAGAGAGGGAGACAAGGAGAGAGAGAGTGGGAAGACGGAAAGAAAAACCATCCATGTCCATGTCCATTCCATGTTGCATGCAACCCTGCTTTGCTTTTTTCCAACCTGGATGTGGCAGGAACAGAAAGTTGTTGTTGCCTGTGCTGTGTTGCCGCTGCTGCTGCTGCTGCTGCCTTTGCCACGGCAACAATTTATGTGCATGTATTTGTGCTGGTACATAAAAATAGCGGTCGAGGCAGCCACGACGCCAGCAGAGCGACAGCAGAGCCACAGCCAGAAGCAGAGGCAGAGGCAGAGCAAAAGCAGAGGCGGAGAGGCAGACGCAAATACCCTGTGCCTGTGCCGGGGATGGGGCAAGGGGCAAGCGGTGGGGGCGCTGCAGAGTGGAACGCACAGAGGCTGATGGGCAGGGGTAACGGGGGTCGGGGGCACTATGTGCGCAGCTTGTGCGCCTCGAAAATACATATTTCAGCATGTAGCATGGGCATGGGACACTGAGTGCGGCACAGGGGCGCCGACCAGAGGGGATCTCCTCAGAGGGTTGTGGTCCTTATCCCTTGAAACGTGATTCACCATTCTCAACCTATTTTGAATACATTTCCCTAATGCAAAATTATTTTCTTTAAATAATAAATATGTAATAAATAAATAAAGTAAATATATATAATAAAATATATAATAAATAATAAATAAATATATATGATATAATATAATAAATAAATATAAAAGCAGTTCTGTCGGATTTGTTGGGTGTATATAATTCATTTGAATTAGATTTTAAACAGTATTTATATGAGAAAAAACTTTTTTATTATAACTATTAGATAACTCCACTACAATATGTGTTCACAAAACCGCAAATGCCATTCAAAATCGATTCGGCAGCCAGCACCCTGTTAACCTCGAAACCCCTTGCCACAGCGCCGCTGGCCGAGTATCTTGTATCTTGCAGTTCGCTGTGCATACACAGGCACATGCGACTTTGTATGTACAAAGTGCCATGTACAGCATTTGGTAGGTAGGTATGTGCATATGTGGCTGCATGTACGCTGT